TTTTTTAATTAAAATTATCTTTCTTTATTTTTTAAATAATTTTTTAATTTTTATCTAAAATGATTCTAGTTGTATTACAACTTAGTTTTAATTTTCTTACATTATATGACATTTTTTATTAATTAAAGTTAAACATAACTTACTTTTATATTAGAAATGTGAGCTAATTAAGTCATGAAAAAAATTTAAAATTTTTTTAGTAAGGTATTTGCAATTATTTTGATGACATTTACTCTTTTCTGTAGGGCACAGAATCACACAACACATAACAAATCAATCTCTATTTCACCAATCTATGTTCAATTTTAGAATACACATTTCTTGCACAAATCACCAAAAATCTTTTCAAATATTAAAACGAATTTAAAACAGATAATAAGAATAATTCGATACTCTTCATTGATTTATCCACACATTAATTGTAAAAACACGCAAATACATTTACGTTTTATTGCTCTAGAACTTCTGGAGGTAAATATATTTTTAAGATATTTGACAATCCAGTTAATTAAATTAAAGCAATTAGCGATAAAGCTAGAAGAGGTGGTAAGGATAATCAGCGTGAGAAGACAAGACAGGAACTTGACGGAGGCGAGCACCACACTGCCAGGAATAGATGGACCGACGGATCAGAATCGTCGTGCGTCGACTAAAAGACTTTGTGGTAGTGTAACGTTGTGCATTTGCTAACGCACAGACACGTGGATCTCATTTCAGATTAAGTTTAACTACTCGATCAAGTATAACACCCCGTATGGAGGATGCACGTGTGAATGTATATAATTGTATTACATTCAGAATATTCGCGACCAACACTTTTATATATATTTTAGAATCACATCGTGTAAATGTAAATCGCTTATAATACAGATATCAGGAAAGAAAGAAAGAAAAAAGAGAGAAATGTATTGTTCAATTTCTGAATTTCTTTTATAATTTCTTATATATCTTTTTTATATCTTGTAATTTTTTAATATGTTAATAAATTTTATAATTATTTATTTTTCTCTCCATGGCATAACAATATTTGACTGACTAAGAATTTATTGCGTGTGATGCACCATTTTAACTGTTGATGATTATTTTGTATCAAAGTTCAACTTTAAGCTTGTAGAACAACGACTGATTCTTGAATCAATGAAAATTTATTAGAATATTTTATTGCATATGACGTCACGCAAAATAAATTGCAGAAATATATGAAAGGATATATTCATTACCTTAATGAATCTTTTGCTATCAAACTATTTATATGTGATTACAGACTAATAAGTAATAAAATATTTTTCTACGGGGATATCTAATATAAACTGCATGTACTATACCAATATTTAGCATATCAATATATATATAAATTTAAGATAAAGTGCGAGAGTGGCAACATAATGTGCAAGTAAATTGGTTTATCGATTTCAAACTTACGCATTCTTTCTCTTTTTCCTCACTTTTAAAAAGTGGTTCGTCAAATTTGATCAAACGCATTATTTCATGTCGAAAAAAAAAATTTAATGCTAAAATTTAGACTGCCGAAGAAAAGCATGATTTTATATGGTAACGTAAGGGAACGTCTAACTTCGACTACCCTTCGTGTCGGACTGAGGACCTTTGGAAAAATCAATACCGTTACCGATCGTTATAATCACGTGGCAGGACATACAGTAATATACAGAAAATGAAGTTTCGATCTAACCAGCAGAAGCATGAATCATATATAATATATATCTATCATAAATACAAAATGTATAACTATATATTATGCTGTAACTATGGAGAAAATATGTGAAGAATTACATAACAGATATGTAAAATAGCTTTATCATGCATACTTATGAACTTAATGGTGAAATAACGGGATTTATTGTTTATTACTTAATTTACAAATATTCTAAATTTATCAAATTTTAATTTTTAAATTGTTCCACGAAATGTTATTTCTAATTATGAGTTTTTTCGTTTTTTTATATAAGAAACAGTCTCTAATCAATTTTTTTGATTTATATAATGTGGATATAAATTACGAATGTCAAATGTGCTAAGTTTCTTTCGTGTAATTTAATTTCACACACAGTTAATGCAATTACTGTTTAAAATTATTCTCCCATGTCGACGAATCTGTCTTGAATTATATGCGGTGTGAATATAACGTGTTGTATAAAGGTTCTTTCGACTGCTGTGCGCAGGCATTACAGACAGTAAAGAGCCATTTCGATCTTGAACAGACCATCCGTTATCTATTGACGTAGAGGATACGGTATGGACCTACTCGAAGTATTTCCAGACAACACTCTGCGTGCCGTTAACGTGTGAGAATTCAGTCTCACGCCGAAAGTAGTCATTAATAAGCTATTTTAAATTAGAATCTCAAAATAAGATGTAATAATATCGTCTCTAAAAAAAGATTTATTAATCTTCTAATATTGGCTACGTATTACAGATTTTGGGCAGAGCTTGTGCTTGGATTTAAGAGAGATCCGAGTTAAGCCATTTAATTTTATAAATTGTGATGTTTTTTATATATATTAAATTATAAAAATAACGACTATTTATAAAAATGTGATAGTGCTATAAAGTAAAATAAAATTGTTGTATGATTTTTATCGTCACGTTCAAAAGCAAAAATTAAGAAAAATTACATATATGCAAAAATCCATTAATAATTTAATATTATGTTAGTATTTATTTATTTTTGGTACGTTTTATATTAGTAATAATACAAAATATTTAACACTCACGTTTAAGCCTATCGATTCGGCCAAAAAATTCCGAGCATGCTCACTTTCGTCTCTATCGCTGTCAGTTTCCAGCAGGGCCTCAGTTGGCTCATTGATACTTTCTTCCTCACTTAAGGTATCTTCTTCTTCTTCTTTTTGCTTTTCATCCTTTTTCTTTGGAAGCGGGCCTTCTGCTTGTTCTTGAGCGCGAACTTTTTCTGCAAGCAGTGTGCCGAGATTTTCGAAAAAGCTGCCATCCGATTCTTGAACTCTAAAAGTATATAAAAAATTTCATATTAATAATGATAGTTTAACTATATCTTAATTTTACAATTTACTATAAAATTTTTCATTTTGTTGATATATGTGTATATGTTTTTTTATATAAAGATAAAATTTCTTTTATTTTGTTAAATATTAAAATATAAGAAATTTCTACTTCTTAAATATAGTTGGAATTGTTATATTATTTAAAACATATAGAAGAAAAAATATCATGTGTATTGTTAATATTTTTATATATTAAAAAAATAAAAATGTAAAAAAATACTTTGCTGTAAAGATATAAGTACAAGCAATGTTTAATATTTTATTTAAATATCTTTGTTTAAAATAAGAGGTATTTTTATGATATTGATTATAAAGAAGATATTATACAATAAAGATATTTATACAATAAATAAAACGTTAAAGCAATATTCTACATATAATGCGCTTACAATGCAAGGCAATATTCTACATATAATGCGCTTACATACAATGAGCTTGATATCTGATGAATGATATACATTTAGAGAAATAAAATCAGCATTCAATGTTTCCGCACCTCTGTAATAGCACTACTACTCATATCGCCTCAACAATTGTATAAGTGATTGAATAAACATGAAGATACATTATAGCGCGCTTTTAATATTTTGATATTAATTCGATTTAATATTTCTATTATTAAGATTATATTTTAGAGGATAAACATTTATAAATGAGATACTTAAAATTAAACTTAAAATGTGATATTTAAAATAAATATATTTTGAGTGTGATTTTAAGAAAGAAAAAAAGGAAAGAAATATGGAAAAATTTAAAAAGTATTTAGGAATTTGGGCAAAAATATGTGTGCGGGTGCACAAATCGTTAAAAAGCGTGGCTTTACTAAAGCGCGTGGTTCACAAAAAATATTACAATGCTACCATATTAAAACGCAATGTAAGCTTTTCCATACAGATTGCACACATATGAAGATCTTCTCGTTTCACCTGTTATGAATAAAGTTGAACGCCGCAAATTTCCAATAAAATCTTGCGACGGTCACTTCTTTTGCTTCCGGCTTTTGAGACATTCGAATAGCGGCAATCAGAAAATATGGATGTTTTTCGTCCAGCTTTTCGAAGTGTGCCATTTTCATTTTCTTAGTCCTTTAGCAGAAACACAACATGTCTAACAAAAACGCACGCAAGATACCGAAAAGCACGCTGCATTATCAGGTGAAAAATATTTTTCTTGTTTACTATTATCTTTAACTTTTATTTTATATACATCCTAACTTTTATGATTTTAAACTAAGCAGTAAGATTTATTTAATTTGAAATTAAATAGAAAACACGCATATTACAAAGAATATAATCTTACAAACATAAAAAAATTTAATTATAAAGAACTTACAGATTTTACAATAAATTCGAATTCTTTCTTTATACACGTACGCACTTTAACTATTCAACTTTACTTTAATAATCAATTTTTGTTACAAAGCACAACACCTCTTCTGATAACAAGAGACAATATAATGCACTGGGTATCAGTATATCATCCCCAAGAACTTTTTTATGCTTTTCAATATGCAAGAATCAACTGTAGTAATTAAAGTTTGACAGTGAATTGACGTTTCTGCTCACATTTTTGTAGGCTGGATTGTTTTTCTTAAATCACCAAGTTATTTTTCTTGAACTATGTATGTTCACGTTTCGCGACTTTGTTCGCACTGACTATCACAATGTTATGATTTGATCATATAAAAACCAGGACTTAATTACTTTTCCGCTACGTAAACGGAATCCCACAATCGCACAATTGTATACAACATGAGTTGTACGGAATCCCCACAATCGTGAATTACAGCCTACAGATTCTGCGAAATTAAATCGGATCGTGTTAGATTTATGTGATTTTTTGTATCGATACTGGTAAAACGCACAGTCCTGTTTCTTTGCAAACTGATTGTGAGTATACACTCGAATGAGAAACAGGTAAGAGATTAGTAAGCAGGCAGTACTAACATGTTGCCTGGAATCTGATTACATAAATAATTTGCGATAGAGATATAATTAGAATTACGTAAGTTAATAATTCTTTCAAGTTAATCTTATTAACTCGAAAGAAAAAAATAATCTATTATGACAAAATCAATGTGGATGTAATATATAATTTGTTTAATAAAGTTAAAATTATATTATATTTCTTTTGTTATGCGTTGATAATTAGAATTCACATCGCAATACATTGCATAATCGAGAATGTAATCATGAATTTTTAATAACATAGTTTGTACGCATTTATAGCTATAATAATAACTCAACACGTTCTCAAAAAGGTAGAAAATAAGTTATAGATAAAACGATATCTAATGACGTTTCTAACGTCAATAAGACGTCATTAAAACGTTATTTGACGTCATCTTGCTACTTGGGTAGCTGCATGAAACTATGGTATTATATAATATAATAGTTCTGATTTATTCTCCAATTATCAGTTATTAATATATTTTATTTTTAGATATTGTTTTTCGTTTTTACAACATTTTCCTTGACTAAAGGTTTATGAATACCTTATACTAACAATTATGTTATGAAGTCAGATTGCACATAAATTATGCGCAGTATCAGATAAACAAGCTTTACAATTGCCAGATAAGCACAAATTAGTTTATAACATGTATAAAAGTATCACATGAAATTTGTTTGCTTACTGATCACTCAAGTTTATTATAAGAAACAATTTACGCATAAAAAACAGAAAAAAATGAAAGAAAAACTTTTTGGATCGTCTCAGCTAATCAATTAAATAAATAGTAAATAATTTTGATCGAATGTACATTTTTTTTATTTTATGTACATTTTTCCTAAAAGAATATTTAGAAGAATGAAAAATAGTTAAAAAAATTATCATGATCTCCAATTAATAATTAAAGTAATATTGGGAACAATTTGCCTAAGCTTTTTTGAACACTACGAAAAATAAAACGGGAAATACGTTCTCGAATTACGAAGCAAAAAGAATAGGAGAAAGATGTTTGTTCATTTGCGTCACTGCTGACTTTCTTTTATTCGAAGCAATGCATTGCGTCTTCTTGAGCCTCTTTTATTCTTAACTCAAGAACGAAGTGATTCATGGTGTCGCATGCCAGTTGGGTACTTTGCGGTCAATCGCGTCGTTCGAAAAATGTACGTTTATACTTATCTTATTTTATTCTTCTTTGTCATCTACTTTTAAGGTCTTATGACGCATTGTAATAATCTTGAAGGCTACGTAGTTCAATTGGATTGTTTCTCATAATAAAAATTTCTCATAATCGATTTTGATATTAATCGATTAATCGCGAACCACAATTTGCGTTACACTTGATAGGAATTTATAGCTCATTTATAATCTGTATAAAATTGACGAAACAATGTTACAGGTTTATAATATTTTTTTATGAAAATTTGTATAAATATTAAATAACGTGTTTGTTATTTACTGTAAATGGCTCATTTGTTTTTATTGTTTAAACTTAACCGTTATTAGATCGATCTTTAAACGCCGCATTATTATGATAAATTAAACTGAAGTGTTGCTTTGTAAATAATATGCGCAAGGTTTATTGTGATGTAAGTTGAAGGTAATCTTCAATAACATGAATAACCTCGAAATAATATTGCCAGGCCGGAACGTACACACTATCGTGTTCTCAGTTTCAAATTTGTCAATACAATATATTTACTGTATGTAATATATTTGTGTTGTTTTATAAATATATAGCATATATATATATATATTTATATTTATAAAACTATATATATTTATATATTTATAACTTATTCTTAAAAATGTTTAAGCATTTTGTATGCTTTAATACTTTACAAGCAAATAAAATGTTAGATTTTATAATGAGTTTTAAAGTTTGTGATGCCTTAATATGTTCAAAATCTACGACGTTGCAAAATTACATAATTCATATTGCTACTATATACAAAACTTCACTTGAGAAAAATTTCCACTGTTTTGATCTCGTAAATACCGAAGTATTTGACGATCATTTCCACAGAGATTAGTGACTGTTTTACATATCCATATCCATATACATATATATGTGTATGCAACTTTGAAATTCATTGAGATGGTATCAAATAATCAATTTATATGCGCGAGCTATTCACCTAGAGCAATGATTTAAAGTGTTTTTTCCTTTCTTTATCAAGTCATTCTTAACGAGGAAACCAGGGTATTCTATCTATCATTTCAATGACGTACGCGGTTATTTTCACAACAGTATCATCAAATCTTTTAGAGAACCGTGAGAAATATTATAAAAATAGAATTTTTTTCATGATCGATTTCACATTTCTCGTGACGTCTGTAGTTAATTATTTTTCATGAAGACGTTGGAACGTATGAATCATGTAACATCATAACGACCTTGCGCACCAGGTCTTGTGGAATGGGATATATATATAGATACATCTGTATGTTTTGCATACAGGTACAGAGCTCGGACATAATCCCTGCTCTGAACTGCCTCATGCTGATCTCATTCTATTAATAGATCTTATATGCATGTCTGGTTATATACAATTTAACTTAATACTTCACCGATGAGTTAAGAGCATTCATCTAGCGTATCATAAGACGTTATCATCAACCGTGAAAATTATGAGTATGCATGCAGAACTCACTGTTATTGACTTTTCAGTTTCGTGCCAAATACGTCACACATACACACACACAATCAGTTTATCTTCTTCTTTTAAAATTATTGACAGTAATACAGTAATATTATAGTAAAATTATATATATATAATCTGGTTTTATATTTTATTAATAAATAATTTTCAATTTTTTTTACAAAATTGTGACATTTTCTGTATTTTTCTTTTCGGGACATATATGCTTCGCGGAAAACTTACAGTAAAGTACAAAATACAAAACGAACAAAATTCAACATAAGAGATGATCAAACGCAGTTGACATTAATTTACCTTATCTCATGTTCCGATTTCTCTTGTTGGTTATTTTCTTCTGTCAATTTCTCTTCTACAATCTTGCGATAAAAATCTTTCCACATAGCTTCCTCGTCCATCTTCGTAGCTCGATTTCTTCAAACTTATCCGGCAATTAGAAGGTATTTATATATGTAATCCAGCATTCTCCAAAAGATGTACCGTATTATTTTAAACATGTGATCATTTTGTGCTTATGTGGAACTTGCGCAAGACGTTTGTGTATACGTATACAAAAAAAAAACACGCACTTACAAAAACATTTCTTGCTATTATCGATTTTTGGGATTTACGGGAAGAATTCGAGTGTTTTACAACGAAAAAATGCCGGCTGGTGTTAACAGTTATATAGAGGTGCAACTAGTAAGCGTCCCACTTATTCGCAAATGAGATCACTTCACCAGTCACTTGTACTTTTTGATCGCCCTGTAGATGGCACCTATTGTCAAGCCACAGAAACGTTCTTTTCTTATCCATCGCGCATAGCAAAACCCTGTATTTTATATATATTTAAATAATATTAATTTTTTTTACAATATCTTATTTTATAAAAATGCTTTATTTTCTTTTTTCGTTTTGACAAAAAATAAAGAATGAATTAAATTAACGTCAACGTTAATAAAATTTAAGTTTAATTTTGTTGTTCTTTGTTTCAATATTTAAATTAAATAAAAGTAATAAAATAATTTAAATAAAAATTATACGAAGAAATTATGTTACCGCGCTAATGAAAAGAACATTTTGCTTAGTTTATTTAATCTATTATCTTATCTTTCTCTCATAGCCACTATGTCAGGCTAATTAAATAAAATTTTATGTCACAAGACGCACAGATGTAAATGACTCAACATTCGCGGAGCTTCTGTCACTTCAATGACATCATCTTTTGTATTATCTCTTTGTTGAACTTATATGGAATATTCATATCGACGAATCACTTATGTAAAACGTATAATTAAACGTATAATTATGCATTTTACACACTATGAAATACACCCCACATATACATATATAACGCGTATATCAGCTTTGTATGAATTTACTATAGTAAAGCTATCCGTTTGACTCAAAATACAAATATAAATTTACACAAAAAATATTTTTCTTACAAATGTCAAACGATTGCTAAATAGCACTGATATAACGGTATATCTAATGATTAAAAGTCAATACTTATAGAAAACGTAACAAATACAAAGAATATCTAATCTCACATTTATCATTAACACAATGATTATCGCAATAAATGTCATGTTCTACGAAGAAAATAATGCAAATGCATTCCATTACTATTTTTAGACCAGTATCTGTGTACGGAATTGATTCCTGGCAAGCTGCTACCCAGACTGGCGTCCCGATCGTTGCGGTGCATGAACGCAGGCGCCATTTCGCTTGTGTGATACTATATACGTATTTCTCCGTTACAGCATTGCCAAACATCAATAACGTTTATTGTAGCATTATGATATGGAAATGTTAGCTTTGTATTTTTTACACGAAATATTAATTTTTTTACAAAAGCTATAAATGCTAGTTATTATTTCGTAATCTCGGATATAAATTTTGCACTATAATTTAATATTTCGATATGTCGTCTATGACACGACACGTATTAACGTCTGCTTGAGTGCATAAATTTTAAACTTTTATGATGTACGTCTCGACATATGACTTACAAAGAGATAAGTACAAATAAACTTATAAGAAATATTTTGCTGTTGTCTGGATAAAATGCATCACATACATCTGAAAGAATCTACATACAAACGAGTTAGCTATCTATAATTAGCTCAAGCATGCGACGTAAATTAATTACATTGTTTCTATTCTTCGGTAAGTAAGGCAGAAAAAATATATTATTTAATTCCATATATCAATAATAATTAAATCAATAATCAATGTTGTTTTTTCTATTATTTTTATAGGAATTATAATATTTTGTGCGTCGGCGAAGCGTAGTTATTATAATGATAATGTTAATGCATGGACAGCATCTCAAAGGAATCAATCGGACGGTACGTCATTTATTTTAATAAATCCAAGACAGATTCAACGTGCGGAAGCAACGATAAAACATTTCTTGACGAGATTGACTGGGCCGATCGCTCAGCCAATAACGCTAAGAATATCATCTTCCGATGGAGACAATTTGCAAAGCACAATTAATGAGATAGGCAAGATTATACGAACAAAAATTATGGGGTTTGCGCGAGCTAGTGGGTTAATTACATCAGTCCGTCAATTTAAGCAAAGACCATGGAATTCTACAATCTCTGAAAATTGGTTTACCGAAGGTCTGGTTCAGGGATCACTTTTACTATGCGATCTCATTAGAATAGGAGAGGAAGTTTGGTCCACGATCGATCGTTATTTCGATAGGTATAATGTGACTCTACACAAGGTAAGTTGTAAATTAGTTTATTTAAGATATTATATAAAAATATAGTAACTGTTTATATTTTGAAATAAAATATTTAGCATTATTTTCTATTCTCTATATATATCGTGAAGAAAAAAAAATATATAATGCTTTATGGTAATAATCCCTAATAAAAAAATATGTTATGAAAATGATATATACCTATGTATATTTTCTTCTCCAGGAATTATTACTACGCAAGACAACGAAAAGCTTCAAGTTTCTAAGCATTATAAATGATCCCGCCAAATTTAACGAAAAATTATTCAAATGTTTATTGTCAGCAAAGGATAGAAGAAATCATACATTTTTTTATCTTGATCAAACTCTCGTGAATTTAATAAAAGATTCACCGGACAGTAACATGAAAACATTTAAGTTCAACCTAGAACCAACATTTTCCTATTTTACACCAAATAATGGCACAGCCAATGAAAAATTGAACGCGTTGCTTTGTCATTCATTGGTTAAAAGAGCTAATAATTATGACGATTGTATCAAAGAGCTGCAACGTCTTGTAGCTTGCGTGTCATTACCGAGGCAAAACTCACGCGAAATAATTATTCATCGCACACTTGTTGCCAAACCATGGTTAACAGCTATTGAAGCTTTAAGTGATTGTAAGATTTATATCAATGAGGATGACAGCGCGATCGTTCGCTGCAACTTCGATCAAAAATTACCGAAGACCACGACGCGGCGAGTTAAGTACATCTACGAAAAAATTCTGGACCGTCGAATATCTAAACGGTCACCTCTTCGGCGTGTCGCAAATGAACTCGGAAATGTTCTCTCAAGAAGCAGATGGGGAAGACAATTTATATATGACGTGTGTCAGTATTTTACGATTTATCAAGATGGCCGCAGAAAATTAAATACACTTTCGAAAAATTATGCTAAGGACAAGCAAACAGCTATAAGGTTAATAATATTTTTAATAAATCATATAATCGGCACAACAATGATACTCGCTACAAGTTTATTGAACAAATGCAAATCAGAAATATTAAAATAAATTTAAGTGGCATTACTTTCTCAATATCTATATCAGACGCTATTATTGCATCCCGTTATATCCGTTATATATCCAATGAAGAGATAAATTAATTATGTTGCTTGTCTTAATATTTTTAATTAATGCTTTTCTACAATCTCTTACAGCATGTTTAATAATTAATACGTTACTAATTCAGCGAATATTGCAGTACAGAATATAGTATGTCATAGTTTCTCAATCGTATTATTAGATTTTTCATGATAAAATGTATTATCAATATAATTTTGGATTTGATGAATTTAGTTATGCACTTATTTATAATTTTCTTTTTAGGTACAAAAAGATATCTGTATCATTGGATCTATACAAAAACGGAGTATTAAGAAAAACAATGTTTGCTATTGGTAACTTGCATCGTTCCGCTTTAGCGATGCAAAAATTCCTTATTAGTTCTTTCAAGGAATCATGGCAGACTCAAATCCTTGTCTGCTTGTCTAAGTGGATGATGAAACTCTTGAAATTATTTGGATATACAAATTTGGATGACATAGACGTAGACATTGACACAATTACTGATGTCCCGTTAATTAATATGACAGATTCAGATAGCGCAATGATAAGCGATGATATCTATGATAAAAACAATGAAATAAAACATCTTGTGATATATCGCAAAAAAGATCGTTAGTATTTATATTAATAATTACATACTTATATTAATTATTACGAGAAGAAAAAATATTTATCTTATTAATAAGTAATTTCTCTGCTCTAATTTCTGTTTTGAAATTATTAGGAAGATATTTCATGTCGACATTAAAATAATTTCAACAAATAATTTACTTTTATTGATTAGTTTTAAATTTGTAAAAGAATCTAGAAGATTAGTAGATTGTATTGCAATAAAAAAATATATATTTTATAAATTAATTATATATGTTATTACAGAGATAAGAAAGGAGACTGATGAAGCTTTCGATAGATTAGTGCGTTCTATGAATCATGTAAATAGAGTGCAAAACAGAAACAGTAAAAGCACTTTAGCATGTCTCGCAAATAATTTGTTATTGGTAACTATGTTTATGGAGACTATTAGTTTTGTTTCTACATTGTTCTGTCTGGGAGAGCATACAGATGAATCTAACTTTGAAGACTTGGACGAAGAATGAGTTTCACCTGCATCTGAACGTAGATTATAGTCTTTAATTAATTTTGCAAAACTTGATACAATTAAGAAAATAGCTTCTTTGATGATATTTGAAGCTTCTAAGGAAGTTGTTGTTATGTATAGAAATAAATTGTAAATTTTACTGCAAATATGTCAATAAATATAACAAATAAGTTTTATGGCTTAATAAAAGATTTTTATTTAGGAAATTCATATACGGTCTGTTTAAAAAGTTCCAAGACTAATTTTTTCCTGAGCGAACAAATAGCACTATCTTTCAAACACCTGCGGAACCTTTTATTGTTAGTACTAATACTTGACTACTTATAAGATTTGTTTCACGTCATCACCGGTGGTATATTTTGAATAGTGACGATGAATTGTTGTACTCGTCATAATTGTCATAATGAAACAGCGTGTTGCTCTCAAATTTTGTTTTAAAATTCAAAAAACGCCAACTGAGATCTATAATTTGATAAAACAAGCATATAGTAAAGACTGTCTTTCATATCCATGTGTGTTTGAGTGGTACAAGTATCACCGATGCAAATGGCTTGATTCATTATGAATTTGTTCCTCTCGGCATCACAATCACTATCAAATACCTGGAGATACTCGATCTTTTGGCATGAATCAGACGCATTCGTCCGCAGCGTTACGCCGAACGGGATTTTTTTTGCTGCATGACGACGCACTGGCGCATTTTGCGGCAATCATGGCCCAGTTTTTGGCCCATAAACAGATGTCAGTGCTTCAACACTCTTCGTATTTGGCAGATTTTTTTTATTCCCAAAATTAAAAATGCAAATGAAGGAAAAGCGATTTGACGATATCCTGGCGATCCAAGCGAACGTGACGAGACAATTGAAGGTTATTCCGAAGAAAGGCTACTGCGGAAGCTTCCAACGGTTGAAAGAACATTTGCAATGTTGCATTGACATCGGGAGGAGAGGGAGGGGGGTGGATTATGTTAAATATTGTAATTAATAAAATTTATATATCTTGATTTCTCGATTTTTAATGAAGTCAGTCTCAAATCTTTTTAGATAGACCGTGTATATATATACTTTTAAAAAGTAAATGTACATTTTTTTTAACATGTATAAAATGTATATTTTTTAAAACATATATATTTTCTAACAAAAACAAGCAAAAAAATTAATTATGTATGTACTTAACTAATTGTCAAAATATAAACAATATATAAACAAGAATTGAAAAAAAATTAAATTTTAATTTAAATTTATATCCTTCATTAAAAAATTTCTTGTCTTTAATCTTTTTGTGTACGCCTGTTTTTATAAAAATTATATTATTTTTGTAATTTGATTTAATTGTCTTTTTTCTTATGTTTTGTATTTTTTTTTTATATTGGGTAAATAATATGCGCCACACAAAATATAGTAATAAAAAATTTTTTTTGAACCAATCTTATAAATAATGCAATGTAAATGTAGAAAGAGAGAGAGAGAGAGAGAGAGAGAGAGAGAGAGAGAGTTTTTATAACAAAAAAAGTCTTGCAAAAGTAATTTATATCATTTATTAAATACAATATTACTTTTTAGAAGTTTATCAAATGTAAATTTAATTTTTATATTTTATATCTGTAATAATTACACTTATATTGTATCTAACACGCGATGACAGTTTTATAATCTTTGAAGATAGAGTTTTTTTAAATTTTTACAATAAATCTGTTGCTCGTTAATAAGTATTGAACTCGCCACGACAAGAAATGATAAATTTTAAATTATCATTTTGTGTTTACGACACTTACATAAATCAAATTAAGCCTTCACATTATTATGATACCGTAAGTGCGATAGTATCAGCGTTTGTTTCAGTTTAACGTTCATGAAATATATCGTGTTTGACATTTACAGTTACGGCAAAATGGATCGTCGCATTTTATATACCCGTTCACATATGTCATATGTCACATATGCCTGTTCACATTGTATCATGACACAGTCAGTAAAAATGCGCGGAGCAGTCATTATTCTCTATTTCGCCGGTATGAATAACTATGTACATTCTACAATATATGAATGTTGATTAATTTCCTTTGTTATTAGTAATTATCGCATATTATTATTGCATAATAGTATTAAAACTGTAATTAAATGACATTTATTCGCATTATTCTCGATACGAACCTTAGCCCCACACACGTTATTTATCTTTCTCCATCATATTCTAGGTTTCCTGATTAAAGCATCAAGCGAAAATGCAGCGCATGAAATGCAACCAAAAATTATCGGAGGGCATCCAATTGATATAAAATCTCGACCTTTTATGGTTAATATAATTTTTTAACTATACTTATATCAATGTATATAATTTGTATATTTTATTGTATATTTCATTGTATATTTCATCGTATATTTCATTTGTATATTTCATTTTATTTGAATATAATTTATTTATTTCAACAATAACATATTTGCAGCTCTCTTTACATGATTCACTAGGATTTCTATGCGGTGCTAGTATAATATCGAGGACATTGGCTATCACCTGAATCAAACATCACAAATTAATTTTGTATAATTTCAATATTTTGTATTGCTTTTTAGACGCAAATCAGTACAGTTTTATGTACGAGCTGGATCTAATAAAACGGACAAGGACGGACATATGCATAAGGTGACAAACATTCATGTGTACAACGATACATACAATCACTTTTCGCAAGTGTTCTATCACGATATCGCGCTTTTTGAAGTGACACCACCATTTCATTTTTCGAAAACCGTTCGACCAATTCGTTTACCGAAATCAACCTACAGAATACAACGTCAACTCTTAGTTTGTGGCTGGGGATCTACAAAACCTCAGAAAGTGAGTAAGCTTAATTTATAATACTTATAAGGATTTGTATAATTAATGTTTTTATTTTGGATAATTGTTGTTAATTAGACATCTTAAAGATGTCTGCGAAACATTTGAAAAATGAATATGTTATTTGGAATTTTTAATATTATTGGATTTCTTTATTTATTAATTTGCGCTATTAATAATGAAAAAATATATAAAGCGATTTAATATAACTTATGTAATTTATAGGAAAAAACACCCGACGTTCTTTTGGGTGTTTATGTAGAATATGTTCCGTTTGAAATCTGCTCTTCTTATTACGTATCCATCAAAAATGATTATCATCTATGTTATGGGAGTCGAGGGAAGGATGCCTGTTTCGGAGATTCCGGGGGACCATTAGCTAGTAAGAAAACCATTTATGGCATCGTCTCTTTTGGTAAAGGTTGTGGAGATATTACTGGTGTCTATGTTAGAGTATCGTATTATTTAGAGTGGATCAAAGATATTATGAATTTGTGATCGTGCACGTTGATATACATACATATTCGATGACTTCGTTCTTCTTTGTTAATTTCTGCGTTTTAATCAATCTCTCGCAATTTTAATCGATTACATATTAATAATAATTATTGATAATGAAAAACAAGTTTTATATGTTTTTTTTTGCATTCCTGTTGCGATTCGTAGGTATAGAAAGAAAACCGAAATGATTATTCGACACGTTGCGCCATTGAAAGTCTCATGTTCTTATCCGACAAGTTGAAGGTATTGTTTTCCAGAGAATAGGCACAAAAGGCGTATCGAATCACGGAGTCGTGAACCCTACTGCGTTCAGGTTCGGTGCCTGCAGGAAATCCACCACATACACGTGCTGCGCAAGAG